TGATCCACAAAAATCATTTAGTCTTATGCTTCCTTGATTAAACAAGTCTCACAAATCAATCTAGCTAAAGGAATTTGTATTGTTCACGACTATTGCAGGAAGGCTGTGGCAATTTCTTCAAGATATTGTTATCTACAATGTCATCAATGCCATCCTTCTCAGGAAAATAATAGTATGATCCTAATGGTGATTTTGTCAGAAACTTCATAGTTTACAGGCCTTCATCTGGGGTTTCAATCACAAGTCCGTAGAACTCATGGTTTATCTTTTTAACAGCATACATTACCAGCACTCAATCCCCATTAATGACATTGAAGTTGTCCTTTTCTTCAGGGACTTTCTCAATCTCTTCAGTCATTATTTCTTTTGTTTGTCGGTTAGGGCTACTAGTTTGGCTTGCATTTTTGGAACCTGCTATTTTGGATTTCTTTGCCAATCTGCCTTTCTCTTCATTAAACAGCCTGGTTGCAACATCTTCTGTTGTTAAGACTTCTCCAACCTTTGCCCCTTTTTCTTTTTCTTCCAGCATTGCTAATTGCATCCATGTTATTTCGTGAACAACCTGGTAAAATTGTTTTCAAAATTGCTCGCTGGGTCACTTTAAAGGGAGATTCAGTAAATGTGTGTTACTACTCTCTAAAAGTGAAACACTTAATTGAACTTGAAGCATAGGTCTGTGTGCTTCTGACTCCATAACGTTTAAAGCTGAAACCACTGGCTGTTGATTGCTTTCCATTATCTGTTGATTGCTTTCCACTGGCTTGACAGCTGAAACAATTCAAATGTCGAACTGCTTCTTTGTTCAATGGATAGAGCCCACTACCTCTGAAACTTACTGTATTTTTCTCTGTTAATTGGTCTTAAAGTTGCTTTACTAGGCAAGGAAAAACCTCCTTGCTTACTTTCTGGTGACAACTCTCTAAACCATCTCTTCAGAATGTCTTTCTTTGCAAGCTTTAATGGTCTAAAGACCCCAACGTCTAGAGGTTGAAGAGCATGACTTGTGTTAGGTGGCAAACATAGTAATATGATATTGTTTGCTATTGCGGACTCACTGTTTCATAAGTTAGGTGACTGTCATGGCCATCATAAATGAGCAGCACAGGTTTCTCAATATGTTCAACGCTTTTAATGAAATGTTTCCTGACTTTGTTGTTGCATAACAAGTACCTGGAGGTCCACCTTGCGTCCATGACTTATACAGATGTAGCCCTTTGCACACAATAAATGGAGGCAGATACCATCCTGAGGCAGATACACAGAAAAGAACACTGTAACTTGCTTTTCCTCCACATGCTGATTTCAGATAAGCAGTATGTGATGAAACTGGCACAAACACTTTAGAAGCGATAGGGTTTGTCCCTAAAAATTTTAAATCCTGTGCCGTTTGTCAAGAAGATCATTTTTAACTAATACATTTTCATACAATTGAAAAAAGGCATTGACAACACTTTCTATCAGCACTTCTGCCCTTGCTTTGGCTAAAAGTTCAGGCTTTCGTTTTGAAAGTTTCCCTTTCCATCTCTTTTCAAACCCAGTAATCCAGCCTTCACCAGGGCAGTTGTCTTTGAAAGGATTAGGTATTCCTGTTTCTTGAATGAAACACTTAACCATTGATATCAAGTCAGAGCGATCCCATGAAAATCCACTATCAGCTAAATAGCACAGTGTGCGAACACTTAAGCGTTCCTCATCAGCGGTAAGAATGTGGAGTCGAGAACCAACTCGCTTTGGAATTTGAACTACCTATCTCCTTAAAGTTTCATATGGAATTTTCTTTTCTCTTGAAACTTTGTAAACTGAACTTCGGTGTTCAATGATGAGTCTTGCATTTTCCAAGTCCTCCTTTGTATAGTTGGGTTGTGCAGATATAATTCATCGGCATTTTAAATTATATCAGCAACTGTTGAAGGCCTGCAACAAAACAGAACAAATGAAATAATATATATTCATTTCTGCATTTAATTAATATTACTTTATAATAAATGCTGCTAGATATCAGGGTTGGCAAAAAAACCCAACCCAAAAAAACCCAAAAAAACCCACCTTAAAAAAACCCAAAAAAACCCAAAATATATTTGGGTTTTTTTAAAAATGACCTATTTTACAACTGATAACTCTGATTTTAACACTTATAAATGCTTTATTATCAGCAAGTGCAACCTTAATACTGTAATTACTCTTGTAAACACTGTATTTATATACATAATGGTCTTTAGAATATACCCAAAATCGATCAATCTGTTTTTGTAGCATGTTGGTTATTTATTATTTTTTTAAAACATTTAGCAAGTTATTATAAATGTTATTGAAATATGTATTAAAACATTAAATTAGTTAAATACTTATAATAGAAATAAAAATCATTCTATTAACTAAATTTCAAGACATTACTAGTTATTTAAGTATCTTTATTCTCCTCTCGAATGTCTATATTCCTTTATATTGGTATTTGATCTTTTATTTTTTAAAGCTTATGTTGTAAACTGCAAAAAAAAAAAAAAAATACAAAGCCACAAGCGAAATACTATATATAAAAATTATTAAACTTTATTTACAGTTTTGAAATGGAAAGTTGTCAAGCAAAAAAATAATGCTACAGTTTACTAGATTTGTCCTTAAGTGCATACAACTTTAAAACTTAAAAAAAATTAAGTTATGTGCAAGCAAGTTTGCAACATGTTTGCTCATTCAATGAGAGAACATGTTGAAAACTTGTATGCATTTCACAAGGACAAGATTTGTTGGTAAAAATGACACTCGTGCTCATCTGTCTTTTGACAGGTTTTTAATATTTTGCATCAGCTGCAAGTTTACAACATGTACCACCAACAGGGGTGACTATGAACAGCGGGTTGAAAATTAACATCAGTATCAAGTTGCTAAAAGGTGAAGAAACACACACAATAGAGCTATATAATGTGTTACTTTGATTCAGTTTGCAATTTGCATTGCAAAACTGAGCCGGTAAAACATCTTTAAGGAAAAAAAAAAACTTGGTGGCAAAGACACTGTAATGGTTCTTAACAAATTTATTTTAGATATTTTAAGAAACAAAGTTTAGGCAAAAATCCATTTTTTACCAGTCCAGTTGATCAGGCTGATAACTTTTCCAGGAAGCTGGACAGTATAATGTTCTGATAAAAAAAATGTAGTGATTAGGCTAGCAGTTTTCTTCTATGATACAAAAATGTTTAAAAAGTGTTCATAGTCATCCTGATTGATAATAACTTATAAGGTTGCAACATCGTGTTGCAAACTTGTTGATTACATGTTGTAAACTTGTGCAAAATAGTTTTTGAAATGATATGTTGAACATGTTAGTAAAAAAAACTAGTTTGCAACATTTATATTGTCTTACCAACTTTGAATAACTCAACTGTCATAATTTTTACACTGATTTTTTTTTAGTCAAAAATATTCTGAACATGTTTTTAATTTAGAGCAATTAATTAACATCATTTATAGTTGATGGAGTCCCTTTTTGCACTATAGATAAAATGTGCTAGTAGACTAGTAGTAAAACATTTGGCTCGCAACCAGAAGGTTGGGGTTCAAATTATCTCTGCTGAAATTACTGTCTCAATCTATTTCTCCACACAGCGCCTTTGTTTAAAAATTTTAGTTGTTAATGTTGTTTGTTAGTAAAAATGGTAATGTTAAGGATTGAGACAAAATATTTTTAAAAATGAGTTGCTCCCTTGACTGAAATGGTCATTGGAGCAATAGGGAGGTGAATTTATGAAATTAAAAAAAAAATTATTGTACTCATACAATTATAAAAATTTGGTATTTTGATCGATTTTTAAAAAACCCAAAAAACCCATAAAACCCAAAAAAACCCATTTGGGTTGGGTTTTTTTTAAAAAACCCTGGGTTTTTTCCAACCCTGCTAGATATCACTGTGACTGTGGCATTAGCTTATCTTAGTATTTGTTATACCCATTTTCCTCCATTCTTATTTTTTAACTAATATTTAAAATTGTTTGGTTTTTTCACATTCCTGTTACTATTAACTAAAAAGAGGAATTTCTCCTGCTTATAAATCTGTAACTTGTGACTGTTTATGTTAAATACATCATTTTTTACAACAAAGTTTTACCTGTTGGTGAAAGCACATGGAAACCAAAACTAAAATGGCGGCACACCCTGTAGAAAAGCAGCGCAGTAACAAAAATTCCTAATTACAATAATTTTAATAAAAATTATTTCACTAATAAAAAACTAAAACTTGTTTCAATACATTAATAGTGGATTTGTAACAAAATTAATAAACTGTTCTACCCATTTTACCCCGGTTGACCCTATTTTTAAAAATATACATTTATTTTAAAATAATCAGAATATATATGCAAAAGGAAACTGGTTGTACGGATATTTAAATAACTTTTTTTTTATTGTGTGAGAATTTTTTTACAAGTGAATTTTTTGAAGTTAATTTTAATTTCAAAGCTCTTGATGTTTTGGTATTAGCGACGTCAGATAGCAATTTATTCCAAATATTACCAACCTTGAAGGAAAAAGAATATATGTATATGTGTGTGTGTATATATATATGTATATATATATATATATATATATATATATATATATATATATATATATATATATATATATATATATATATATATATATAATGCTCTTTTAAATGATATAAATAAATTCTATTTATTTATTATTGAGCACTCTTATACGTACAGTAGTTTTTGTATTTTATTTGCAAATACAAAATTTCATTCTATATATATATATATGTATATATATATATATATATATATATATATATATATATATATATATATATATATATATATATATATATATGGGGCTTTTCTAGGGAAAAAATTTGGGCGGCGGTACTCCCCTGTCCCGGAGAAATTTAGGTGTTTTTTTGCGAAAAAAACAATATTTGCCGTAAAAACTGAAAAATATACATTTTACATATAATTTGTTACATGTAATATCCACATAAAAGCTGATACTTTCTTATTTGTGTTTAGTTTATGGGGTGCATTGCGCACCGGACAACCATTACCATGGGATTATGATTTTGACTTTGGTGTTGACTTTGATGATGCAAGATTAGTGAATTTTGACGAAGTTCAAAAAGCTCTATTGGAATATAATATTAAAATGAAATATGTATATTATAGTGGAGTTTATAAAGTATATTTTGGTACAATGACCGGTGATATTATGGTATTTAAAGACTATTATAATGATGGTATAATGAGACGTATTGGTATTGAATCGTGGCTGTTATTTATACATTATAGATTTTATCACCAATATCCTAAGAGATTAACTCAGAAGCCTCTTGAAAAAAAAAAGTTTGCTGGGCTTTTATTTAATGTACCTCACCAAGGAGTTGAAATTCAAAAGTATATGTATCCAAATAATTGGTGGATAGAACTTAAACCTCCAAACTGCAATTTAACCATTTAAATGCAGTAGTTTAAATTTTGTTTCACATAAATTATCAATATATTCATATTACATATAGATTATAAATATATTACATATATGAAATTAGTAGTTTTTATATTTAAACATTTTGATACACGTAAATATTTGCATGGTTTTTATTTCGATTTTTGTGGTATTTGTTAGGTTTATTTAAATCATAATACATAGAGATATACATATAAAATTAGTTGTTCTTTACTTAACGTGTCTCAGCTCTCAAATTAGAACAGGTTTCGGTAATGCCTACCTAATAGTGTATTACTTCATCTCTATTCTTTGTTAACATTTTTTTAAAACCTTAATGTTTAAAATTTTATACCGAACTGATCCCAACCAAAAATAGTTTAATGTTCCATTCTTTTTTTTTTCTTCTTTTTTTAATTCCAATGACTTTGTAATGTATCGCTTTCTAACTATACGATTCTTTTAAATTTTTTTTTACATCAATTAAACGAAATATACTCAGGAATATATTACTACACAATCATACATATATTCGTATACACATGGTAAACAAAAGTTAACAATTGATATACCTCTAAAATTTGATTGGCAGATTAAATTGAATTATAAAAAATGCGCCAATCTAGTGTGAAAGTGTACAAGCAATCGATTCTGATTTCAATCGAGTTGAACATTAGGTAAGTTGAAATTATCAAAGCTAAAAGGTATGTTGATACCCTATTCTGATTTTAAGGTATAAGACCCCTCAAAAATCATTAAAAAAATAAAAAGTATATTTTGTGTAATTCTGACAGGAAATTTATCGCTGAACTCGATTTTGAAAACCATTTCTTGAGATATAAGTAAATTTCTTCAACAGGGTAAATTTGATCTGCCTAGCAACACGCATAGCAACAGGTTTTTAATCAGAATTGCAAGCTATTTTGTTGCTTTTTTGTAAACTTTTTTAACAATCGGTAAATCATGTAGAGTCAAACAAAGTACTCAAAGTAAAAAATCCAGAAAATTTCATGGAAATAGATTCACTAAAATTTTTTCAATCGATTCAACTTTATCAGTTGCTCCTGTTATCAGTTATGAAAATGACCATATTTCTTGTAACTCTTCTTCAAATATATCTATATCCTGCTTAGTTAAACTAAAACTGTAGGTTATCGAATTGTTGATATTGAAATTTTGTCTGGTGCATTTAATGAACTATATTGCAAAAAAATCTTTACAATCAAACTTAAATCTTTCAGAAAGTTTTTCTAAAAAAAAAAGGATTTAGCTTAATGTTAAATATCTGCTGCTCTAACTGCAATGAAAAAATTGAATTTTATGCTTGAAAGACTTGTTCTGTGAAAAAAACTTTTGATGTAAATAATAGAATAGCTTATTAAATGTGTGCATTTGGTCAAGGTTTTTCAGGATTAAAAAAGTTTACATTTTTAATGAACATTCCTAAACCTATGATTAAAAATAATTACAACAAAATTATTCAATCTGCCTCTGATTGTGCTAAAATTTTCGCAAAAGAAACAACGGTTGATGCTGTGAAAGCAATTTGTCAATCTTCTTTAAATATTGTTGACACTGCAGTATCAGTTGATGGTAGCTGGCAACGTCGTGAGTTTTTTTCACAAAATGGAGTTTTTACAGCGATATCAATGGGACAAAGCTAATTCAACATCTAATTACAAGCCAGGTGCTGGTCTTTCAATCTCAGTCATCTAAAGCCTGTATTGATCTATCTGAAGAAGAACTCTTTAAAAATGCCTTCATGGTAAGACGCAAAACCAAAATATATATTTTCAATAAAATTCGTACTGTTGACATGGTAATCACTTAATTCCCTTAAAATGATTTCAGGCCGGCTAAAATACAAAGAAATAGGCGCATTTTTATTATTCAAAATTAAACCATAATTTGTTATAAGGCGGGGTTGTCATAAGGCGTTATGTTGGTTAAACAAGTTTTTCAAAAAAAAATTTGTTTCCAGCACGACCAAAGATCAGTGTCAAGTAATTTTTCCTTTTATTTTTATATTTTTCAATTAATTTGCATTTTTCTTTTTAACTTTTTGGAACGTAATATACCATTTTATCAGTGCTACCATTTTATCAGAGTTCATTCTAATTTCAAAATTTCTTATTCTTTTATTTTTAAATGCTTTGCATCCTGCAATCATATGAAAACCTTAATCTGTCTAATTGCTTTAAAATTTGAATTACATTACAACTTTTACGAAATCTCACCATACCTTGACATATAATTATTTTATTTTAAAAAATTAACTTATTTGATATTAAAAATTATAAACCTGTGTTTTTATAGTTTTATAAGGTTTGTTAAAGTTTGTAATAGTAGCAATTATTTAACTAAAAATTATGATAGAAGTCAATATATCTTAATACAAAGTTATTGTTAAGACATTTAAAGGGTTTTAGTAATATATATATAAAAAAAGATCAAAATAATTTTGTCCACCAATTTTGTCTCATATTCGGCCCACTGTGCAGTGGTCAGGAATGCTTAAAAATTTCAAATAAATTCAAAATTGATATTTTTATATAACACACTCAATCTCTTTTTCTTTTTAAGCCTCGAAGAAGGTGTATAAAACATTATTTCTTCGTAGCCCTCTGAATTATTAAATTTTTATTAGATCAATTAAACCCCGGTAAAGAGAAACTAATAGTAAATGAAAAGTATCAAGACATTTTCGCACTTTCGGAATACTAGTTACTTGAAATGTTGAGTCTATTTAATAACCTTTGATATAATTTTTTACATGATTCATCATTCAAGACTCATGGTGAAGAGAAATCTAAATTTAAATCCTTAATTATAAACTCCCTCCCTTTATCCTAGTTTTGCTGTAAGTAGCGCAAATGCGCATAAAATGCTACGCATTTTTCGGCGGTTAAATTTTCTGAAAAAATAGATGAATAAATGAGAAAAAATTTCTCTTTTAGATGTAGCGTTTTTATTACTAAGTAGCTTTTCAAAAGAATAGTATTGTGGCATGAAAAGTTCATTTACTGCAAATAATGCTAAACTTGGCCAAATTGCAACAAAATAGTTAATGTCAAAATGATTTGCCGGGGAAATGACCTTTGACAACACTGCAACTGCAGCAGAGGTTTGCAGCATCTCTGTTAAAATGAAGAGACACTGCAAAAAATTTAAAAATTGAAAAAAATTTGATTTACAACTGCCATTCAATTGACAATTTTGACCAATCGGACGGCATGAGCTCATGCCAAAAAATTTCTTAAAAACTTTAGTTTGCATTATACTGGACTGGGAAGACTGGGCTGGATAGAAATTGGGCTCAAGGCATACCTAACATATTCCACAGGCTCATGGATTTGAGTAATACACAGGTTCAAGAATCTTGTGTTACGAAACGCCAAAAATTTAAAAAGAAGAAATAAATGCCAGCGAGCATTATTGAATTTCTTGAGTCTGTTGAACCATCTAAACTAGGTTTATAGTGATTCTTATTAAAAAAATTTTATTGAAAAGAAAATATTTTGTAACAATACACAGGAAAATGTATTTTCAAATAAGTATTTTCAACATAGATTTCTTATTTGCATTTTGTTTTTAACTTTATTTATAAATTTATGTCAAAATTTATAGATATTTTGTGTTAAAATGAGTAAATAAAATAATTTTTTAAATAAAAACTAATTCTTTCCAAATAAGTGTTTCAAATTTTGCGAGTTTTGTCTGTTTGAGAAAGAACATAAATTAATTCGCATTTCCAAGGATTTTTGAACTCTGTGAAGTTGGTTCTAGTTTAAATTATTTTTCCGATGATTGTGTACATTTCACCCAACAATTTTAAAGAAAGCATTAAGAATAATAGATTTTATCAAATAATCAACTAAGGATACATTATTCTATATATAATATAAGTTCACGCCCTCGTTATCCTCCTAGATGTTGTTAAAGTGATCTTTGATTGGAATGTCTTCAAAAACGAAATAATCGTCTTTTTAAAGTACAATCATATCCATTGTGTCTACTTCATTTTTATCTGTTTAGTAGTTTCCGGAAATTTTTTTGCAGCGCTATAACTGCCATCAATTCTCACTGACGCTAGGCAGCAATGCCAACGATGTGAGACAATCAATAAGTTAAGTTAGGTGGTAAACAAACAAATACAATATTTTCTTAGCACACTTTAATGATTTGTAATGACGCCAACAAATTAATTTTTTTTAATTTTATATAGTTGCCCCAAGAAGTCCTTACCGTCTTATTACAGAGCACCGCGGATGAGCATTTAATTGGAAGTTCATGCCTATTTCCTCACCGGTGACGCGAAACTTGCCCAAAGGTGGGGTTTGAACCACGGATCCTTTGTTTCTAAGGCAAGTGAGCTACCACTGCGTCACGGCTACTATGATTATCACCAATAGTAACAACAATAAGAGTTTTCTTTTCATTTTTTTTTTTTGAGTATATGAAGCATATACTCAATATCGTGACACCATCTTACCATCTGGGATTTTGTACAATTGTACCTAGTACTATGGGGACCATTTTCAGTTCATGTTGATCTTAGATTATCTGGTTCAAAGACAACGTAAAGCGGTATTTTACATCCAGCTGATTTGCCACAAAACATTACCAAAATATTGGACTTTGGACGTTCATTACTCTTTCAGTGTATTTGAAGTTTTTAAAACATAAATTTTTATTTGAGTTGCCTATTTAAATTTGCTTTATCATAGATGTATATATTGTTTGCTGGCACATTTGTAAAAACTTAGGTGAGGTTTTCAATAAACTCATTCAGGATTTTTTTCGTTAACAGCAGTCCAATATCGTTTTATATTGGCTGCAAATCAAATATACCATATGATTTTCAATAAAAACACTCAAAGTGAGGTTAAATTGTCTTTTAAAAATAATTTTCTCCATTTTAGCCCTGTTAATTGTCATTTTTATTTATTTCTAATATATTTTATTTTTGGATTTGCAAATTACGTTTCAAACGGGACTAAGGGATCAGGTCAATTTCCGCCATCTTCTTATTCGAGCCGTTACTTGGATTGATTACTATGGAAAATTAATTGAATTGATAAAAATTAATTGAATTGATGTTATTTTTTAAAAAATATACTGAGAGTAATGCATATTTATTTTCAAATGTACTGCAAAATGAATGAAAATAATAAAATTGAATGCACAAATGTACCTTTAATATTTCAAAAACTGCAATTCAGTATAATCACGAACAGTGCCAATGGTTTGTCAAGTTTATCCTTTGTGTCATAACTGCTAGAACTATTCAATGAAGTTGTCTAACGTTTAGACTTTAGATGATTGACTCTAGACTGACAGGCCTCTGCCAGGAAATCATAAGATTCAAGGTCAAATATACTCCTTTGTTCTTGTTGATCTATTAACAAGTTAATTTATTGCAACTCATGTCTGCAATTTATTTATTTACTAAATGTCTTCACTATAAATGTAAATACTATATCTGTTTTGTAAAACGGAACACTTATTGTGGTAAGTGATGGCAGTGTGACGTTATGTTAGAGTGATATGAGTCTATTGTGGTGATATGGTGATGATCTCGATTTGTTTCGATTAGGGTAGGAACTGTCTGTTCGGTTTGTATGAGCAATTTCCAAGCACTTTGTTTTACTGCTTCTTAATACTGTTGAAGAATTTGGGCTAGATACAAGATGGGGCAAATTGCGACAGCATCTTTATAGTGGTGTTTTTATTCATTATTCACTAATAATGACTTGATAACACTTATATAGTTAAAAAAGTTTTTAAATAAAAATTACAAATAATTTTTACATATAGTTTTTTTTCGAAGTAAAATCTGATTTGCTATATTAAATCTGATTGTATTGTAAGTGCTTTAAGGTTTAAACAATCAAAATACTTCCATAAAATATCTTGTCTGCAATTTAAACGATTAGATTGTTTAAAAGAAAAACACCAATTGATGCTTTCAAAAGATTGTTTGCACTCCACAGTAAGATTTTTGATCGAAAATCGGACTGTAAGTATTCTTTTAAATTTATTTAAAATGTAATATGCTATCCAAGGTTTTATTTTATATAATTTAGTATAATATAATTGCGGTATATTATAGGTGGCTTAAGGTGGCTAAGGTGGTTTGGCTGATATTTTAAAAACTTTTAAAATTTTTAGTTAAGATTGTATTAGAACAAACAATTACCACTGAATTCATTTCTGAAATCTGTTTTTTAGTATAAAAAACACAAAAGGTTTAATTTAAGATTTAAGAAAGGTGATTAAACATATTTCGCATATCAACGACCCCTAGTAACATATTTTCTTTCTTATTTTGGACAAATTTTTGTTACTTGGCATACTTTTGAATTTAAGTATTAGGGCTTAGTCTGTTCTATACTGTAATTTTGATGCGTCTTGGTAGATGCCAAGAAGAAACATCAGAGCAGTACTTTCAGGTCCTACAGGACATAAAACATGGCGACGCCATGATTTATGACAACTGTAACAATGATTTATGACAACTGTAACATGATTTATGACAACTGTAAACAAAAGTTTATCCATCTATATGGGGCCATGATATTATTTTATGATATGATTTTATATGTGGAGCAATATGCCCCAGAACGAAGTTATAACATTTTATTTTCAATATTGCGGAATAAAAAGTTTCACATTTAAAAAATAAAATATATTTGAAGTAACAAAAAATATAGTTTTAGAAAGTGTGTTGCAACTAACCCCGTTCTCCAATACCTTCAGTCCAATTCTTACTAAATTCCGTTGATTTTATTGTAAGAAAAAACAGAATTTAAACTATTATTGTAAAAAGTTTTTTTTCCAGCTAATGTAATCCAAGAAGATGTAACCAAGGTAATCCAAGAAGACGTAATAGTCTTATCACCGATTAGGGATTGTCCATAAATTATGCAACGCTAAATTTCACCAACAAACAAAACAAAAAAGATTATATAAGTTTTCTCTTGCAGAGCTTTAACTCATATAAAAAATCAAAACAATTCGTTAAATTTAATTAAAATAGCCGCGTAAAAGATATTAAGATCTCCTACTCCTACTTTTAAAATGTTGTTTAAAAACTCAAAACAGAAAGTTTTTTATTATTTGATTTTTGTTGTTGTAACTTTAGACGATAAGGACTTTTTTGGAACACCTTAACAATCAGATAAAGTTTTGCTTTTGAAATCAGAGTGAAATCAAAAGTGTTATAATTTAACAAGTCGAATCGAATGTTCAATTTTTAAGACTTATTTTTTTATACTAATTACAACTCTCTCAGAATTCTGAAGATCAAGAAATTCTGAGATGCGTGATGCTCATAGAGACGGGCGAAAATTTTATCGAGAAAAACTATTATTTAAAAAAGGAAAAACTTAAAGCAAAACAAAATGAATTTATTTTAAATCATAATAGATAATCAATTTAATTTAAAATACAATAATTATTCAATAATTTAATTCGTAATAAATAGTCTAAAATAAATAAAAAATTCAATAATTTTTTCATAACAAAAAAAAGTTAGAAAATATAGTATTTTTGGCATAATGTAATCCAACATTTTATAAATTTTGATGTATGTAAAATTATGACAATATGTAAAATTGTTGCAGTATGTAAAATGTTACAGTATGTAAAATTGTTACAGTATGTGAAATTATAACAGTACGTAAAATTGTTACAGTATGTAAAATGTTACAGTACGTAAAACTGTTACAGTATGTAAAATTGTTACAGTACGTAAAATTGTTACAGTATGTAAAATTGTTACAGTATGTAAAATTGTTACAGTATGTAAAATAGTTACTGAATGTAAAATTGTGACAGTATGTTAAATTGTGATAGAATGTAAAAATGTTACAGTATGTAAAATTGTTACAGTATGTGAAATTATTACAGTACGTAAAATTGTTACAGTATGTAAAATTGTTACAGTACGTAAAATTGTTACAGTATGTAAAATTGTTACAGTATGTAAAATAGTTACTGAATGTAAAATTGTGACAGTATGTTAAATTGCGATAGAATGTAAAAATGTTACAGAATGTGAAATTGTGATAGTATGTTAAATTATGACATTTACAAAGAAAATATTTATAAATTATTTGGAAAATATAACAATTTTAATAATTTCAATATAAATAGAAAACATGAAAAACAATCAAAATATTTGTAGTATGGGAATCGTCTCATCTTGTAAATACTTATAAAATAAAATAAAAACTATATATTAAAAAATCTCCTATTTTCCGCCGTCAGAGTTATGACAGCGACACAACTAGAACGATTGCAGCCAAAGCAATGACGCAACCAAAACGTCCAAAACAACTCCTGAGAGTAAGAACAAAACTCGATCTAATTCTTTATCTTTTGTGATTTTTTGAATGTTTTTGCGTGTGGAATTCAACAACTTTTGGTTCACAATTTAACAAGCTCATACTAACTAGAGTAGTTTGGATCAACTCCCCTTCAATAAAAAGAGAAAATAAAAAGGTTATTTTAGAGGGCCTCGTGCGATATCTGTTCGGAAATGAATTTGAACAACGTGCCATGAGGAAATACTATGTTAAATCTCCACCTTTAAACTTGGTTGTTTTAATAATGATCATTAAGCTAAAGAATTATTCAATAGATTATTAGGAAATTGACGTGTTTTTTCATTTTTCCATAATTGCCTGTGCATGTCGATAATCCAAGGCATTAAAAGCTCATCGCGTTTATTTATGCTCTCAACAGCTTTTTTTTGAGAGTTAATACGTTCAAGAAATTTTGAAGGAATCTAAATGCAAAAACTTAAAATAAGAACAAGAAGGAAATAAAATAAATTCAACATAAAACTGAAATGTGAAAGTTAAACATGTCAATTTTTTGTGTGTCATTTAATTACGCTATGCTTACTTGATGTCGTGTCTAAAAGCGATTAAACTCAAAACTTTTTTTTTTTTTGCCAGCATCACCTAATAAGCAGATCACACAAAGTACATAACATAATATCAATACCAACCTTATTAAAAACTGGAAGATTAGGTCGGCAACCTCCTAACGTTTAAACTTCGTGATATATATTTGAATTTTTAATTTGTTTAAAATGCCAACACTTAGAACAGATATTTACAAATAATTTATAAAAATAATTTATAAAAATAAATTTTTTTGTACCTCGTTTATATACAGTTGCATTAACGGCATCCAAAGTGGAAAAATCTAAAAAATTCAAAAAACGTTTTAATTAAAGTAGGAAAGAGAATAAACTGAAAAAGTTATTTGCAATTTATTCTCTATCTTGCAAACAATTTGTTTTTAGCGATATACACTTTTTTTTATGGAAGAGTACTTGAAATGTTCTGACTAGCTCACAAAACCTGATTTCAAAACTATTCTGAACCAAAAATTAAATATTTATGATCAAACTATATAATTTAATTTAAAAGATTAAATTTTTCCTCTATTAAACAAAAATTAAGGTGATTCAAGTTTATTATTTTATTTTACATATAATGGATATTATCTTCAATGATGATGATTAATATTTGAGAATACATAATTACCTTTAGTATTTTTGATTTGTCAATGGGAATATGTTTATTAAATTAATAAACGACTTAAAATTATGTTAAAATATACCTGTTTTTGTGGTAAAAAAAACTGTTTTTAACATAAATATATAAACTTTTCAAAAAAAATTTCAAAGCTATTTTTTGATTAAAGTAACTTTTACGACTTGTAACGTTAACGAGGAAAATTTCGATACTTTTGATGGAGAAGCAACAACTGCCGTTGTACCTTAAAAATATAAAAAATATAAAACTGTTTCTACTCAGGAGGTCTTGCAAAATATTTTATGTTTATGCTGCCTCCAAAAAGTATGACACATTAGCGTGAACGATTAGCTGGCATTTAAAAAAGCAACAAAACAAAGAAAGCCTGAATAAAACTGGTGCTAAAAATATGTTAACTGAATTTGAAAAAGAACAATTGGTTAAGTTGCTTGTTATGTCATCTAATTTAATGACTTAATTAAGGCTGCTTTAGACGTAAGGAAACTTTGATAATCTTCAGATACTCCGCAGTTCAAAAATGGACTTTCAACTAAATATGAAGTAAAATCATTCCTGATAAGAAATCCAAGAATAGTTTTTCGTACCCATGAATTTATAAGCAGAGTGGCAGCAATAGTTCCATTCAGCAGAATTAAGACAAATTTTGACTATTTTTAGTAAAAAATGGGTTGCTTCATGTCTTCGATCATTCAGATGCTTTTTACAATATTAATGAGACAAATTTGGATTAATGAGACAAATTTGGATTGATGAGACAAATTTGGATTGATGAAACAAACTTTGATTTGAATCCAAAAGTATGAAGAACATTCTCTCAAGCAAAGGCCTAAAAATAGTTTATAAAATTCATCAGGACCTAAGGAAAACTGTTTGCTATTGCTTTGGAGCTGATGTTTGTTTAAAACCTTGGTTATTTTGAAAGAAAAGTTCATATGGATTGAAGATCTTGCATATGCTTCTGGAATGACAATTTTTTGTTCACTCAAACTAAATCTGGATGGTAAAACCAACGCTCCAAAAGTATTATATTCAAAGAATTGACTACAAATGGAAAGATGTTGCACGACCTGTTTTCATATTCTTAAACAACCATCCAAGTCACATTAATTTTCATTTTATCTAACTGGTGTAAGGATCAGGAAATTCACATAGTGACTTTTCCTCCAAATTGCAATCACATTCTTCAAATGTGTGATATTAATTATCGGACCAGCCAAATTATGATGGAAAAGAAAAAATGGTTGTAAGCTGATGAGAAAGAGTTTATAATAATTTTAAAACTAATGAATAATAGAATTTATTACAAAATGATAGAATTTATTACAAAATGGTAAATGGTTTCCATGGTACATGCATTTTTTTACTACATACCGATAATGTTTATCTTGAGCGGTGTATTGGAGTAGATAATGATTCTGAATCTGCTTCCTATTCAGATGCACAAGTAACTTCTGAATGTTTTGAAATTCCTACTTTTTCCAACTTAGCTTCATTTAGTATAAACATTATCAGTAATAAACTACTTGCTCCTGCTTAAGGTATCATGTAGGTTGTCAGTATAAATAAAGTTATTCATTTTATTGATTAAATATTATTACGTTGATTTTTTAAATAGAATCTTTCTTGTGTACCATTGTTAAGGAAAAAGTTATTCTTTATTACATCTCAAAAATACAGGAACATATAGATATAACCTTTTAGCTACACCCCTGGTGACTATGTTCTAAATTCTTTAGTTATGAAGCAGCGGCTTGATATACTTTCATCAGCATTTCACAATGAAACAACAGTTTCTTCAACTTCAATTTGATGTGCTCAAACTTCCAGAACCAATAGAAAATACAAGAAAATTAATTATGGAATCTTCACAAGTGACAAAGTTTTGGAAATGAAAAAAAAGATGACGAAGAAAGGAAAAGGAGAAAGAAGAAAGGAAAAAGACTCGCAAAGAATGAAAAAATAATAAAAAAGAAAATCAAAAAAAAAAAGATCAGGAAAAACAAAAAATAAGATCTAAGGCATTTGAACCTGTTGCTAAAAAGAAGCGTAAAAGATCAGCTAAAAACATTCAATAATATGTATGTTTATTTTTTTTATTTTGTTACTTTGAGAAATTAAATTAAACTTTTTTTATTCTTACAAGCTAAAATCCAATCAAATACATTTAATTTTAATGTTTTTTTATAAATTTATTGCATTTTTTTCAAGAAAGAATTTTTAACAGTCATTTTTTAAAATACTGCAAAAAAAAAATTTTTTTATATCACAAAAAACAGACAACTTTTAAAAGTTTTTTTTTTTTTTAAAAAGTTGATTTAGGTGCCTCAAGAAGTCCTTACAGTCTTATCACAGAGCACCGCAGAAGAGCATTTAATAGGAAGTTCACGCCTCCTTCCCAACCTGTGTTGCAAGATTTGCCCAGAGGTGGGGTTTGAACCACGGATCTTACGTTTCTGAGGCAAGTGTGCTTCCACTGCGCCTCAACTGCTTTTTTCAATATATCAAATTGCAGAAATTAGATTGGTTAATTAACTTTGTTTTAAAGTAAAATTATTTAGGTGCATTGAAAAGAGGGATAGTAAGGTTTAGAATATTTTCTTTACTGCATTTTGTTTCATATTTGATGAGTATATGAGTAAAAATTTATGATTGAAAAAATTTTCAAAGAGCAGAACACAGCAAAAAACAAATCTTTTACCCCAAGCAATTTACAAAAAAAGTATTTATTTTAAATATTTTCATCCAAAAAAATATGAGCTTTTAAGCAAGTCCAAGTCAGCATTTCAAAATTATGGTAACAAAATTATATAACAAAAAGTACTGATTATTGTGTTGAGCTAAAACACTCTCATAAATTAATTTATACATGAATAAATAATAATGAATATATATATACTTTTTAAAAAACTATTACTGTGATCATCAATATCACAACTAATTTGATGAAAATTTTACAATAGTAAATTTATAATTTATAAGGTATAAAGTAAAAATTAAACACAATAACAGTAGTACATCTTTTGCAGGCATGTACATGCGAACCACATATATTTACAATGCCAATCAAAGTACAGTCGACTCTCGATATCTCGAACACTAAGGGGACCGGAAAAAAAGTTCGAGATATCGAGAGTTTGAGATATCAAGAAAAAGGTTGAAAATAAATAAAATTGCCCGACTTTCATTAAAACAAGTTATTTTTCTGACAAAAATCATTAACAACAAAAACTACAACTTTTGGAAAAAATCTGTTATCTGATATTGCTTTAAATTATCCATCTTTTCCATCTTCAATCCTCAAGTTTTAGTGCTAGGAATTGTATTTCATTTCCGTATTTTGAGCTGTATAGCGAAGCATTTTGAATCGTTTCAAAAGCAATTTCTAATTGAATATCAGATGGGCGTGGCGGGCCTTTGACGTCAATAGCTTCGTCAACGCTATCTTCAACTTCATTATCGTCGTTTTCAAAATTAGGGTCTAAAATCTGAGCAATGATTTCAGCATCAGTAGCAAGTGAACCGGTGGTTACTACATCGCAATCTAAACCAATGTAAGATTCCGTTAAGAGATCTTCTTGGACAACACGAGGATCTAACTCTCGCAAACGGTTAAGTTCTTCTGTCAAAAATTTAAAAGGATGATCATTATCAGCTTCTTCAATACTCTTGTTTGTTTTGCTGATACCAGCTTTTTTAAAGTAGTTGATGACAGCTCCTTCGACACAGCATTCCACGAAGAAACAAGATCTTTCATCACCTAAAGTATAGAAATTTTTGGCATGGGTTCGTTATTATTGACAGCCTTGATACACAAACGCACAATTTTGTGACGATAATGAGCTTTAAGACTTCGTATTATGCCTTGATCCATGGGCTGAAGGACAGATGTGGGGTTAGGGGGGAAAAATATTAGGTTGATGTTGCTTAGCCCTTCAATGTGTGGATGGGCAGAAAAGTTACCCACCAGGAGTGCTACTTTCCTGTCTTCGAGCACGAAAAAATGAGTCAAGTTTCATTACCCATTCTGTAAAAAGGTCAACGGTCATCCAACTTTTTAGCTGATTTTTATATGTGCAAGGAAGTTGTTTAATGTGCTTAAAACACCGTGGGTTTTTAGATTTTCCAATAACAAACATAGGTAATTTTTCTCCCGTTGCACTCCCTGCAGCTATACCTGTTAGTCTGACTTTGTTATTTTTTCCCCCAAAACATTTTTCTTGTGATAAATGGTATGTTTTGTTTGGTAGGCACTGGTAAAATAGTCCAAACTCATCGGCATTGAAAATGTTTTCAAGTTTGTAATTCAAAAGCAATGTTGGAAGTGTAGTTTCATTCCACGAAGCAGTCATATTTGTCACAGCGGCACTTTTGCCTGAGATTATTTTAAAGCTGATACCGTTCCTAAAAATAGGAACAAAATAATTGAATTTTAATTACACGTTTAAAAAACTAAATAAATTAAATATAAACAGATACATGTTATTTGTTTATATTAAAATTGAACAAGATTTGACAAAATTTAACTGACCTTTCTTTCCAATTATGAAACCAACAATCAGATGCTTTAAAATCCAACTCTCCTAATGTTTCTGCAAATTTTAGTGCCTTTTCTTTTAGTATAGTACCATCAATTGGTACTTGTTG